CTATTTATATAACATGTATATTCTGTGTAACAAACAGACTAATATTTGAATGCATTTTCGGCTCTCTAAGAAATTCAGTATTCCATTGAGCAGTTGAGCTGCAGTTGCCAATCTCTTCATCGTGCAGTGGGATTTGTCCCCTTTGATTCTGTTTGCATCCCCACCCTCTTTATCCCTTTTGCAAATAAGGAATTATGTGCTTTAGGCCTGGTTCACACCTGGGCTTTTTACAGCGCGTTCCTACACGCTGTAAAACGTTCAACATGTGAAAACCAATAATTGCCTATGGGCATGGTTCCCACCTGGGCATTTTACAGCACGTAGGAACGCGCTGCAAAACGCCCAACGCCCAAAGAAGTACAGGAGCTTCTTTGGGGCGTTTTGCCGCGCGTTGCCATTGGTATTCCCGAGTGTGGATCGGGGTTAACAAAGCGGTAACCCCGAGCCACACTCGGGAATACAGCGTACAGCTCTTACCTTGTCTGCGATCCCTGCTGTGTCTTTGGCGGCTGCCGACTTCCGGGTTCTGTCCCTTTTTTTTTTTTTTAAATAGAGTAAATAAAAGGGGAAAAAATCACACCGCCAGTGAAACACGCGTTTCACTGAACGGTAAAAACGAGCATAAAAAAAACGCTGACGTGTGAACCCAGCCTAATACAAAAATATTAGGCAAGAATCCAAATGCCCTTTACTGTTTCCTAATTTAGAGTGAAGCCAATTGCCCATTGCCAGTAACTATCAGTGCTTTTAGTGTTTGTATTAACATTGTCCATAGTCTTTCTGTATGTGTTTTGTATTTAACTTCTTGTTTGCTTTGCTTTTCTAGGTTTGTATCCCATAACAGTGAAGGATTTCTCTCCCAGGCTGCATTGAGCCTGGATCTGGCATGTTCTCTAAACTCAGTATAAAATGCTCTATTCATATACAAATATTTCAGACTAGGACAAGTTTGTCATTTTATGAAAGGACACATCGTGCTCATCTAGCAGGCAGGGATAATTGTTGTACCGAGGGTCAGGCACTGGACCATCATAACTCCAGATGATGATAATCAATTCAGGCTATTAAATCACTATATTTTATTCACCTAAAACAGTTTTTTTTCTTTTATCTTACTAGTAACATTTAAAATTAATCTGCCTTAAATCTGGAAACTATGAGGTCTGTGCTTTCACCTCTGTGCCTTTTTACTGTACAGTGGGGACATGGCTTTATATGTAAAATGCCTTTCCTTAATTTTAGACACTAAAAGAGCAGCAGGTGGCTTGTTCTCAGGGACTAGACGAGCTGAGCTCATGGGCAGGATTGACAGAAAAGGCTGTACGTGATCACCAGAGCAGCCCTAGATCACAGGATGTGTCCAGCCTTCAGGATCAGTATAAAAGCATGCAGGTATTGTTATAGTCTATACTGTTCCCTATTTTCATAATATTTACTATCACAGCCTTCTATATTATTTGCACCTTCTAATGTTGATTGGTGTCTTTACAATTGGTATAATGTTCAAAGCTAGGCTTATTTAGTATAATACAACAAGCGGAAAGTGCAGCTATAGCATCTTGTAAGATTTCAGTTTGGTATATTCTTGGTGAGAGGTGGCTTGCAATTGTCATGAGTTACTGCAACTTCCTATGACTACAGTATGGCTAAGTTGCAGAATTTAAGCGAAGGCTAAGGTATATTAGTCCTGTTTTTTTTTTCAACCCCTTTACATTGATTTGTATTACTCGGTTGTTTAAGCTTTTTACTTTTGTGTCACATAATCACTCTGATTCAAATACTCAGTATAACCTACCTATATGCAATCAATGCCTCTTTTTCTCCCTCCAGTTGCCTACTTTTTATTTACAAGTTGCGCTTCTTTTATATCTCTTACAATTTGCTGCTGTTCGATTTTTATTTCTGCTCCTAATGGAGCTTATATGTGTGAATGTGATCCTTGATGTGAAATGTTTCTAAAAACATAGTTCAGGAGAATATCACTAAACAAATCTTTCCCTAAACCAGGAGCTCAATAATGATGTGCAAACTAAAGCAAACAAGTTTGCTAGTATCATTAAAGCTGCGGAGGACTTCCTTGAGGAAAACAAGAACAAGATGGACCCTAAAGATCTTGAAGCATTTAAGAAAAAACTCCAGAAGGCTAAAGAACAATATCAGTTAATTCTGCAGAAAACAGGGGAGACAGAGAGGCAGTTAGAGTCTGCCGTTAGCACAGCCATTTTAGAGGAAACCAAAAAGGTAATGAACGTATACAGTTGTATCATCTGTTTTGGGTAAAATGTTTTCTCCTACATGTATGGTCAGAAATATTCAGGTTTAATTCAATTTATGTGCTTTCTTTTTTTGCTTTAAGTCTAAAACTGCAGAGGAACTGCAACAAAACCTAGGAAAGATTGAGAGTCTTCTGTGCCAGGTGCTTCCGGTTGTGCCATCTAAAAGCAGCCTGCAGAAAAGCAGCATGCCTGACGGAAGGGTTTCTGGTAGTAACGAGTTATCAGATGGATGTCCTACAGTGGGAGAAGCCACTGACATCATTAATAACCTCTATGAAAAGAGAAAGGTGGGTCAAGAAAGGCTATGTGATCAAAATGGTTGCACAGACATGTGTACATATGACATCACCTCGGGTTATCAGATTTCTCTCTCTGAAGTATAGATGTGAGCATTGTATTGCAGAGAGTAGCAGCATCATGCTTATATCTAGGTCTCCTGATCTTGTTGAAAAACAAATCTTTGAATAGTGCTTTAATGGATATTATGAAGATAGTTCTCGGATTATCAAATAAGCTAGTGAAAAGGTGTCTGAAAATTGTCTTTCAGTAGCAATGCCCATTCCTTCTCTTCTCAGTCCTAGACAGGATTTTTTCCATTCCCTGGCATAGCACAGCTGGAAAAAGGGGCTGAGATTTGTAACCCTAAGCCCTCGTTCACACCTGAACGTTTTGTAGCGCGTTCTACGCTCGACGAACGCTCTACAAAACTCTCAAAAATATAAATCCCATTGTATTCAATGGTCTCGTTCTCACCTTGGCGTATTTCCGCCCGTCCCTAACGCGCTACAAAACGGCCCACGCCTGAAAAGGTACATGTACTACTTTGGGCCGTTTTGTTGCGCGTTTCCATTGGGATACAGCCAAGTAGCCTTCCGAAACGCGCGTTTGTCGCGCGACTTTTTTACCGCGAATCGCGGTAAAAAACGTGCGCCGGTCGCGCATATGCAATACGCCTAGGTGTGAACGAGACCTTAGGGTACAAATAAACAGACAATTGCTTCCACATCCACCAGGCTTTATCAAATGACCATAATGTTTATAGGTAGCAGCAGCTGTATTGGTGAACTAGCAAATGGACAGAATCGCGGTTAAAAAACGCGCGACGGTCGCGCATATGCAATACACCTAGGTGTGAACGAGACCTAAGTCTGATGGCAGGTTTTTGAAATTTCACCAAATATTTTTCAGTGTGTTAGACAATTTCTACAGAAATGCTTAGTCCTGAAAATGCCCTGGATAATGAAAGTCCAGGTTACAAGACCTTTGGTTCTTGAGGGCCTCTCTGACACTTAGGGGAGATGGGATAGGAGGTAGCTGGATAAGTTTATACTTGTTGCAACATTTAAGACTACATATGAACTTTGATGGAATTTGTTTTATATTTAAGGCCCACCACCAAGAAATGTTAGGCCAGCAGCAGAATTTAATTTTGACCATACAATCAGCACAAGACTTCCTGGATAAACATGGAAACACTTTGCCCCCAGAAGAGCGAGAGCGATTGCAAAACCAGCTTGCACGCTTGAAGGAAGAGTTTGCTGCCTCCCTGTCCCAGGCACAGGTACAACTGAAGCATGCACAAGGACTGCGAGATGATCTGCAGCATTTCATTCACGATCATGGAGAGTTTGATACATGGCTTCAACAAAATGAAGAGGAGTTGGATAAGATGCAGAAGGGGGAGGCAGACTGTGAAACCTTGCGTAATTTGCTTCAGCGGCAAGCAGATTTTTCGGAAGATGTGATCTCTCACAAAGGAGATCTGCGCTATATTACTATTGCTGGACAGAAGGCGATCGAAGCAGAAAAAGCAGCACTTGAGCAGTCAAGTGAAGAGGTGGGAGTGGCAGCAACTTTGGTGAAAAGCAAACTTGAAGATGCCTCTAAGAGATACAGTGCCTTGCATTCTAAGGTAAATCGGTATTTAGTATTAACTTTAGCAGCATCAGTATTTAGTTTGCTAAGAACAATTTACTTCCCTTACTTTCAGTCTGTCAATTGGCATTACTATATACTATGGATTCACCGATACCGTTATCAGGAAGCCAGGCGGTGAGTCATTACACACCGCCTGGCTTCCTGATTGGGAAGCTGGACAATCAGGAAGCCAGGCGGTAAGTCGTTACCTACCCCACGGCTTCCATAGGCCAGAAAGCCGGCTCCATGCTTCCTTCTCACCTGGTGATGAGGGAGCATGGAGACGGCTTCCAAGCTAATCAGGAAGCCGGGTGGCAAGTCATTACACACCACCCCGCTTCCTTAAAGGGTTTCTAAACCCTCCGTTTTTTTTGCCTATATCTACTGCTAGCAAGCAGTAGATATAGGCAAAAAGTTTTTCTTTTAAAAAAATGCTTTAACAGCGGTTTAAACTTACCCTGTTTTTCGCCGCACGCTACCACCCAAGAATCCGAAACTGATCTGGCGGCCGCAAAGCATCTTGGGGCAGGCGCATGCGCAGTTCGGATTTTCGGCCGGAAGACGAGCAGAGATGCAAGGTTAGTCTGGACGCGTGATCCCCGCATGCAGACACCGCGGGATCGGAACTGCCAGCAAGGACAGAGGAGTCAGCGCTGGATCAGAGAGCTGGATGGACAGATGAAAACTTCAGGAAAGAAGAGGAAGATCGGATTAAGATACATCATTTAGGGTAAGTGCTAACATTAACATTGGGGGGAGGGAAAAATGTTTTTGACTTTAATGTCACTTTAATGGGACTTCTGGTATCGGTATAAGATATCGGCGAGTACCGAAAATAATATCAGTACCCGATACCAAAAAACCGGTATCGGTGCATCCCTACTATATACATTGGGGACATTTATCAACTCTGTTGCACTGCAAAGTAGTGCTAAACAGGGGCAGTGAGACAGATCGTGTGACAGATTTACTACAGCCTAACAACTTGATTCAAAAGTTCCTTCCTCAGCTCCTCTAAAGTAGCACTGCAACAGAATAAAACCTGAGCCTGATCACTTCTTAATTATGCCACTGTTTAGAGTGAAACTCTGTTGCATCTTCAGTAATTAATCTGTCTAAAAACTTTGTAAACTGTCACACCACTTGGCTGCCCAGGAATACAGACACACAGGTTTGTAACCCTGCCAAAGACAGAGGAAAGTCAGCCTCATTTGTGACTAACTATGTCTCTTATTTGCTAGATAAATGTCCCCCATTGTACATTTTAAAAACCACAAGAAAAGAAATGTTTTATTATTTACACACATTGTTTAAAGATCAAAATTGTAAGATTTTAAAGCAACTCTTTACTCTGTGTAACACATGCACTGTATAGCTAGCAAAACTGGGTACCTTCACTATGCTACCACTATCCCTGTCAAAAAGTACTTCTGGATATAGAGCACTAATGCCACACTCCATCCTTCCCGTAGTAAGGTGTTTGCATGGGCAAACACCAGTCCCAAGTGCTGTCACATGAGGTGGTGGAACGTACTAAGCCCCATGCAGTTACTTAATTTCAGTTGTTGGATGAAGCAGTGATGTGTGTACCTCTGTACACTGGGGATGCATTATGTACTAATGATCACAACAGACATCCTCAAATATTGGAGGAATTTTAAGGTACGCGTATTCCCAAAGGAATGTTGTGAAACTCTTTTGTATAAATGCTAGATTGTTTTCCATTTCTGTCTTCTTGCACTGATAGAAAAAAACAGAATGAAAAAAATAAATTATATATATATGTATATAATGTTTAAAACGTGTATGTATATATAATATATT